AAAGGCGATGAAATATAATAGTGCCGGATGGCCTGGTAACAACTATTTATTTCTAAAGAAAAATGTTTGGAAATTTAATATATGTGACACGTAAAGTTAAAAGGGACCTACGCTCAGAAAAAAGATTTCGAGAAAAACGACTTTGAAGTTTACCAAGTTGATTTTGATGCTTCTGAAAGCTTTAATGGATTGAAACTCGTTACTCGGTGGTTTTCGGGGTCGCTGATTACGAATCCGATATTAGTTTTCCAAAATTCAAAATGGCGGATCCGATGTTCGTTTAAAAATTCAAAATGGTGGATCCAATATGGCGGAAAAAATTTAAAATTTGTTCGGATTCATGTGAAACTCAAAAATGTCATTGACACCGAAAACGAGGTCACTGATTACGAATCCGATGTTCGTTTTCCAAAATTCAAAATGGAGGATCCAATATGGTGGCCGAACTTAAAAAAAAAATTTGGATTCACATATAAATTCATACTTAAAGGGTATCTTGGGGTCGATGATTACGAATCAGATGAATTTCTGGATATGTATGTAAATTAGTATATATATGTATTAATGATGTGTATTAAAGTTGTTCTTACCAAATCTTATTATAGCTACAGTTTTATACCAAGCAGTTTTCTCAATGCAGTAGCTTCAAAGGAAGGAAGTAAGGAAGTTTCAAGCGAATCCGATCAATTTAAAAATAAAAGCCATCCGCCATTTTGAATTTTTAAAAACTAACATCGGATTCGTAATCAGCGACCCCGAAAACAACGAGTAACGAGTTTCAAGCGAATTTGATTAATTTCAGAATAGTTTGTCAGACTTAATTTTTTTGTTTTTTTTTTGTGAAAGTACCTAACTTTGAAGTGAAATTGTGAAAAAACTAATGCCGTTAGAACTGCGGTTTATTGCATCGGAAAGAGCGGCCCGTTTACTATAAGAGTCGATGAAAAGTGAAAACGGATGTTTTCAGACCGTAGGTCCCTTTTAACTTTACGTGCCACATATGTGGGTAAATTAAATAACATTAGAATGCCAGCTAAAAAATACTCACCGTAGTTTGCGCCCTTCTTCTTCTACGTTCACGACACTACTGAATTTTAAACTCGAGAGCGCAGCGAATAGACAAAAGGGAAGGTTGGAAAAAGCGATGAGCTTACAGCGATTATAATAACCGGAAATAGGGATGGGCGTTTTGTTACACCCCCACCCCCGTGAAACGCTAGTCTTCACTAGAGTCTACGTTCAAAACGGCCAGCTTTGATGTTGGACGACGAAGCACCCCTGTGCTTGTTCCGACATCCGCCCTTCTTATCTCACCATCTGCACCCCGGTAGACACTCTCAACTACACCGCGGCACCACTGTCGCCTCGGCATATTCGGATCGCAAATGAAAACGATATCGCCCACAATCAACGCCTTCGACGACGTGCACCAGCCAAACGTTGTTTTTAGTGCACTGCCTTACCGACGCCCTACAATAACAAATGCAGATTCCCTCATAATGGTATTCACACTCCGCAATCGTTAATAACCGGTGGAAATTGCCAGACGCCGCGTAAAATTCAAGATTTGCCCGAATTTAGCGGACATGCGGAAGACTGGCCATTGTTTTCCAACGCACTCATCCAGTCAACTGCCGCCTATGGTTACACTAACCTTGAAAATAATCAACGCCTGTTGAAATATTTGAAAACTGAAGCCAGAGAAGTGGTTAAATCGTTGCTAATCCATCCGGATAACGTAGCCAGTGTTATGGAGCAGCTACAGTTTCGATTTGGTCGACCGGAGTCGTTGATACGCAGAAAGCTTCAACTAGTTAAAGAAATTAATCCGATTTCCGAGTCCGCCATTGAAAAACTTATACCCTTTGCAACAAAAACAAAAAATCTATCTGTTTTTTTGCAGTCGGTGAATGGAGTACAGCACCTGTCAAACCCAACGTTACTAGAGGAGCTGATTAGCAAGCTTCATATTAGCAAACGAATGGATTGGGCAAGACATGCCGCCGCGATTAAGCCGTACCCAACTGTTGTCGACTTCAGCAACTGGCTCAGCGACTTGCCAAATTTGGTTTGTACATTGCAACAAAGTGATAGTCGTCGGCGAGTAGTACTGCACGCCACGGAAAATGGACCAAAGAAATCCCAACTCTCTGGTAAGTGCCCAAAATGTAAGGGACAGCACAAAATCTATGTATGCCGAAAATTTTTGGATTCCTGCGTGACTGATCGATGGGCTCACATAAAGCAAAACCGTCTGTGTTTCTCGTGCTTGAGAAGCGGCCATTCGTCGCGTGATTGCCGTAGTCGCACGCTGTGCATGATCGATGGTTGTCAACGTAAGCACAACAGACGTCTGCATGAGCCTAATAAGGCCACCAGCGCTATGCCTGCACCACAAAGCGGAAAGCAGATGGTTGGTACCACTAACGTAATGGAGTCAATCGACAGGGGCTCTTGTTCCGCGTCTTGCCAGTAACGTTATATAGGCCGCGTAAACAAGTGGATACATTTGCGATGTTGGATGAAGGTTTGTTGTTGTTGTTGTTGTAGCGGCTACAACAACCCCGCCCAGATCGGTTGATATCTCAGTCGTTGTCGTCAAGTTACACTAACGGCAGCCCTAGGAAGCGTGCAGCTTCTATTGGGTTGGTCCACAAGGACAAAGCCGTTAGGGTTGTCGGGTTTTCCGGGCATGCGAAGAGATGTTTCGAGTCATTTGGGGTCTCTCCGCATGCCGGACACTCATTTGGCACATCCTCATTCAATCTACTCAGGTAGGAGTTTAACCTGCTGCAGTAGCCAGAGCGGAGTTGGGCTATTGTCGTTCGTGTCTCCCGAGGCAGATGAAGCTTCGTCTCGTCTATGTCCGGTGGCGGTATGCCTAGAACGGCATTCACAGGTCTAGAGTCTACATAACTCGAGACTGACTCCCTGTGAATGCCGTTCAGGGCCAGTCGGTAAGCTGACGGGTCCAGAGGTTGCTTGATGAACCTCTGGACTTCGTCCGTCAGTTCATATAGATGCCTCGTGACGTGCCTAGGCGAGGGCTCCTCTGCAAGCAGCTGTCTGTTTGGGTGGCCACTTCTGTGGCTCGTCTATCACGATGATGGACAGAAGTCTTTTGAAAGAGCTGGGTATAAATGGAAAGGAGTACAACTTGAATATGCAGTGGTTTGGAGGAAGAACTACCCAGGAGGCCACCACAGTAGTCAAACTGCGAAATAAAGCTGTAGCGTCGTGGAATGAAAGGCGATGAAATATAATAGTGCCGGATGGCCTGGTAACAACTATTGATTTCTAAAGAAAAATGTGTGGAAATTTAACATATGTGGAAAAATTAAATAACATTAGAATGCAAGCTAAAAAAATACTCACCGCAGTTTGCGCCCTTCTTCTTCTACGTTCACGACACTACTGAATTTTAAATTCGAGTGCGCAGCGAATAGAAAAAAGGGAAGGTTGCAAATAGCGATGATATTACAGCGATTATAATAAACGGAAATAGGGATGGGCGTTTTGTTACAGATTTTATATGGGTTTTGTTAGATAATGAACTGGATTTTAATTGAAAATTCTTAAAAATAAATAAATAAACATACGTAAGTGGAAAACAATATCACTTTGACACGGCGCGCTATAGATATGACCGACACCTTATCTGCCAGAGAAGTTGGACAATTTGGTGGTTAGCATTGCATCTAGTGCTTTTGGTGCTAATTCCCTATCCTCCGTTATTAAGCCAGTATGCAGCTCTCACGAAAAGCAAAAACTCTATATAAAATGACGTATAAGAAATGGCTCAGAAATTTTCTTGAGTCAAATTTCCTTAAGACAGTACGCAGTTCTGAAGAAATTTGCTACGCCTTCTACTGCGGTTTTCTGAAGTTTTTTTGTGAAAAAAGAGCTCAAGGCAACCCATGTTTGCCACAGAAATATATGCCCGTTACATTATTTCTTAAGGAAAGAGCGAGGCAATAGGCTGTCACAGGCTCTGAAGTATCAGTTATCAAAATTCCTAGGACACACACACGAAATAATGAAATTTTTTTTCTTGAGAGTGATACTGGCCTATTCAAAGGAGGAAAGTAAAAAATATTGCATTTGTAGCGGAATACAACAAATACGTGTGTGGAGTGGATCGCTTAGATCAAAACGTGAATCTGTACCGCGTTGATTATAGGGGAAATAAATGGTGGAATGGGGGAAACTATATTAGTTTTTACTTTAAAAAAATATGGGTGATGCCTGGTGCACCCATATGGGTAACAGTACTTCCTGTATCAACTAGGAGCAGGATACAAGTTGTATGTATGAGCGATATTCGCTACATATATTGTCGCTACCATGTCAAACTATCGAATGTGTCAAAATGCTTTTTTCACCTTCGATACCTTGCGCATTCGTTTAGAATAATACGTAAGTTAGCAAATGGTTGAATTTCTAGTCTAGAGATACTTGCTTTAACAAAGTGTCGAATTTCACTTTTTTTCCTAATGACAGCAACATTTTTTACAACTGCTTTTTTTTGCTCTCCTAAAAAGTACCCATTTTCACAATCGATAGTTTGATATGGGAGGTTAAGATTTAGGTGGTTTTAAGAAAATAAAAATCGTAACTATTCTCGGTCTATTCAGGTTAAAATAAAATCGTTGTGGTAACGGATGCTGCATGATGCTACTAGGGCATTTTTACACACATTTCGCATAAGTTGTTTATTGAGAAGATACATCCAAAGCATTTACAATTATATGAGCGGTTGACTGTAGGTAATAGAAATTCGGCGTGTCCACAATTTCATTTTCTTCTGGCCAATAAGTACCCTACATTGATGAGGAGAGTGGTGGGATGATTGATACCTAGTACCTATGAATTACATTTTTAGCTTTTAGTGCACTGCTTGCGTTATTACTATGTTTCTTTAAAATAAACATAAATTTTTCTAACTTATTTTATTTAAGAAAAAATTTGTTATCTTGAAGAATACTGAATGGTATGTTTTTTCATTTCTGTGTTGTATAGGCAAGCTGGAACGGAGACGTTAAACAAGATTTATGAAAAACTTACTCAAATGCAAAATGATTTTAAAACTGCGGTGAATAATACCGAGGTCGGTAGTCGCTTTCAAATGGCAGAATCCTTGTTTTTTTATTTATTGGATAAAATTCTACGAGTAGAAACAAGAACAAAGCCTAATATAGATCTCAAAATTTTATTGACTACTGATACTTTTATAACGACGCTCATCGCCTGCTGTGTGGAAATTGTTATTAACGCATATCAATCTCAAATGAAATTCCCCTGGATTTTAAAATGCTTCAGCATAACAGCCTTCCATTTTCACAAAATTATTGAAATAGTTGTAAGGAGCCACGATGGTGTATTGTCGCGACCACTGATTAAGCATTTAAATTACATTGAAGAGTCTTGCCTGGAATCTTTAACCTGGCAAAAGGAATCACCTTTATGGGACATTATTAAAACATTTGCTTTACCGACGTGGTCTGAAGTGGACGTTGACAATTTAGCAAAACGGCATCATCCTCAGAGTAAGTTTTATTTCACCAATCAGACCTGTTAACAATGATTATTGATTAAAGGTTGTTTATAAGAGAACCTATTAAAGATTAGATATCATTTGCACCTTTATATGATAAATAACACATCAATACAAAAGAGTCAAATTTTTCCCAAAATATGTTTCTGACAACATATCGGCGTTTTGAGTTTTATTTTAGCAACGCACATAGGGGTATTTGAACGATTTAGGCGGCCAAAAACCAAGTTGACAAAATTTTTGAGAAAACTTAAAAAATTAATCGCTTTCGATAGAGAACATTCCAAATAACATTTCCCAGTCCCCCTCCCTTTTCTAACTAGCACAGCGAACGCTCACCGTTGACCGGAAGCAGAATATTCTAACGCTGCTTTAAAAAAAAATTTCGCTCTCTAGAAAGATCGTGACGGTTTTGAGTTAATATTTTGATTACTGCATTGTATTCTTAAAAAGTAGTGATGGATCCACATACAGAAGGTAACAATGCATTTAAGGGTAAATTTTTTTTAATCGTTTTACTAAGCAAAAGTTCAATTCAAATGTAACGAATATAGCGGTTTTCAACAAGTATTTTTTTGTTAATTTTTGTGAATATTAAGGAATTTGTTGTATCCCCGGGAGAGATCGCGTTATTATTCTTTGTTCAATTGAAAGCTTAGAAATTTGGCTAATATAGTGAGAAAAGACTGCCCGCAGAAAATGGCAGATAAGTAGTATTTCTTGAATTAGAAAATGTTTTAAGGAAAAATCTAAAAACGCAACTAGTATATAGTAACACTACTTTAGATCTATTTTAACACTAAAATTGAACTTTTTAGATGAATTTGAGGCCGCTGTACTAGAATATGAATCCATTTAATTTAAAAAAATAAATAGTTTTCGAGATATTAGCAAAAGTCATGTTTTCTAGGACCTTTCGGTCCTGTTGCTAGAAATCTGCGGGAATATAAGGCGAACCCAACTATGATATATATTTCGGAATAAACATTTGTTTTCCTTTACATTGGTGTTATATAAGTGATGATTAAAGAAATAGTTTTAGGTACACAAGCGTTTAAATTTAGATAAATGTCAATTTTGATAAATCTACGATATT